GCTTTGATAACACTCAACCAGTAGAATACAATATAAATGACATTCTGAGGCTTCTAAGGACAGGTCATAAGAAGCCTTGCAGTGTCTACCCTTGGAATACTTGCTGTGAAACAGCTGCCATGATGTGAGGAACCTCAAGCAGCTCATAGGGCAGTGCAATGAGTGGAACCAGCCTTCTCCTTGGAAGTGAATCCTTCCAACTCCAATTGAACTGCTCCATCTAATACCACATGGAACAGAAAAATAATATTTCCACTAATTCCTGTCCAGTTACAATTCATAGGAAAAACAAATGATTGTTGTTGTTTGAAGCCATTCAGCTTGAGGGTGATTCTTCCAGTGTAATATGTAACTAGAACACCAATAAACAGCTCCAAAGGGCCTCTACTTCTGTTCAGAGCATTGCATACCCAGGATCTTCCACTATGACCCTATCCTTTGCCCAGGCATCAGGGCTATGGGATAGGCAGGGCTGTGGAAGGTCTTTCTTGGCTGGATGCTGGTTTTGCATGTCTAGGATTACATCCTTTCTGGGCTCTTTCATGAACCACCTGATAAAGTGTAAATACTAGATCTCATTTTACTATTGGGGAAAACATGAGATGTACAGACTCGAGTCATAGGCTTCTAGACTTTCTGTCTGCCTATACCCCCCCCAACACACACATGTAAACACACACACACACACCTTCCAGAAAATGCTTGTGCTGGAGAGAGAAACAGCCTGATTATAATATGGTGGTTCTCAAGCTTGGCTCCATATTGGAATCAATTGACAGATTTAAAAAATATTCTTGCCTGAGCCCCATCCCTAAAGATTTTGATTTAATTATTTTATTGTGGTACAGTCTGGACACTTAAAAAAAAACCTCCCTGGCTGATGTTATGTGCCACTAGAGTCAAGAACACTGTTCTAGACTCATCATCATGACCAATGTTAACCTCATTGTTCTAGAGCTTTAAGACTTCATTTTTTTCAAAGATTTTTTATTGTGATTTGGGTGAAAGTTTACAGAGAAAATTCATTTTTGATACAGCAGTTTATACACATTTTGCCTCATGACATGAACTGCAAGTCCCCACAGTCTAACAGCTCTCTTTCACTTCTTCCCCATAGTTACTTCTTCCCTGTGTCCTTCGCTCCCATGGACTCCCACCCCCTGAGCTCTCTCCCTGTGCAAACACTGCCCTTCTGTTCTCCCAAGAATGATCACTCCAAGGATCAATTACCTGATGTAATTGTTCATCCCCCCCCCCCCATATGCCTGTCTATTGTTTGGCGGGAAGTCACAGGAGTGAGTTCAATTCTAGATCTGAAGGATGCTAGGGCCATAGTCTCAGGGATCTCACCAGGCTCAATCTGACCAGCAAGCCTGTCTTTTTGAAATGACTTTAAGCTTTGTTCTTCATTGTTCTCCCACTCTATCCAGGACCTCCTGCACCAATCCCCCTCCAAGTGGTTGACAGTGGTAGCTGGGCACCATCTAGCTTTTCTGGTCTCATGGTCATATAGGCTGAGGATTGCATGGTCTACCAGTCCTTAGACTAATTGTTTCCATGAATCTTTGGTTTTCTATGTTCTTCTTTGCTCTAGACCAGAAGAGACCCATTGTTGCATCTAGATGGCTGCTTGCATGCTTTAAGATCCCAGTTGATACTCACCAACGTAGGATGTAGAACAGTGTTTTTGTGTAGCATGTTATGCCAACTGAGCTTGATGTCCCCTGTGACCATGATCCCAAACCCAGAGGTCCAACTACTCGCTCCTTCTGGGTGGTTGGCTGTGGCCAAGAAGGAGGGCGTGAAGGCTTTAAATAAAGCCAAGTTGGGATTTGGAGAGAGTTCCAGGTGAAGAGGGGAGATATCAGTCTCTGATGATCTCATAAATAATAATCATGCTTTGCATTAATATAGATTAATTCACCTGAGTGTACCACTGGTGATATGAGATGGTCATGGTATTGAACAGCACAATTTCAGAGGGACCCAAATTCTTCCCATTTCAAATATCTTTATGTCTTTCTGATTACACAAAAGAAAAATCTTAGTTGGTGCTAAAAACCAGTTGTCACGGAATCCACTCCAAACTCATGGTAACCCCATGTGGGTCAGAGTAGAACTGTTCTCTGTGGGGTGTTCAACGGTGTGATCTTTGGGAATGGATTACCAGGCCTTCCTTCTGAGGGGCCTCTGGGTGGACTTGAATCTTCAGCCTTTCTGTTAACAGCAAAGCATGTTAACTGTTTGCACCATCCAGGGGCTCTGCATCTCTCCAAACTTTGGCAAAAATCATGGAGATGGTTTGCCATCAACTAAAATTCAATACTGGTCTAAATCTTTGCCACCTTGGCAACCAGGTGAGAAAACCAGGACCAGGATGACACTCCATTTAGGAGAAAGTTGAGTCTCAGAGACATTTGATGACGTGTCCAAGCATCTAGGTCCCTGCCCCTCCCCATCCACTAACTTTTACTGAAGAAGATCATGTGCTCTGCTAGAGGGGGCCCCTCTGCCATCTAGTCTGGGAGATACCATTAGACTCTATTTCCCTTGTCCTTATAATATGCTGACCCCAGAGGAAGAGCAAAGCAAGTTTTGCTTGGGGAGTGTGTGGAGAAGAGGAGAAAGAATGAATCATGGAGAAGGCAAGACTTGTTGGTTGAGGAGAGAGATCTCAGAAACTACCTGGAAGAAGAATTTGGTTCAAGAAAGAACGAACTTTCTAATACCAAGAGTACAACTGGCTGTGTCAGGAGACAATGACAATCCCCACCCTGTAACTTCTTTTATTTGCTGAAGATATTGTCTCTCCTTCTTGGTGGGGGCTTTCCCCCATATGCTCATGTTTACAGACAGAATGCTATTGCACACTGAGGTACCAAAACCAAAACCCAAGCCCATTGCCATCCAGTTGAGTCTGCCCCATGGAGACACTATGTGTCTATGTGTTACATAACTATGTGTTACACTATGTGTCTATGTGTTACATAACTATGTGTTACACTATGTGTCTATGTGTTACATAACTATGTGTTACAGAGTAGAATTACTCCATGGGATTTTCTTGGCTGTAGTCTTCGTAGAAGCAAATCATCAGGCCTGTCTTCTGTGGTGGTGCTAGGGACACTTGAACTCCCAACCTTTAGGTTATTAGCTGGAAGCAAACCATTTGTGCCACTCAGGGACCTCCATTGAGCTACAGGGGACTCCTAAGATGCTTCTGACTCCAGAATTCTCAGTTCCCCTCATACATCTGAAAGAGGCAAGTCAGTCTCCTCCATCCCCTGCTCCCCCTCCAGTAACAACAAGATTTTCACCTTCTGGATGAAAACAAGAAAAAAGAATAAAAAGCTGAACCAGATGAGAAGATTGAACGTGAGTCTAGATTAAATCTTGGAAGAGATGTTTGCACCTGTTACAAAGATGTGACTGATTCTTGACCAGCAGCAGGTGGACCCATTCACACCCATGGTGGGCTGACAATCTGGCCACTTGAGATTCAGCCACCACTACTCAGGTTATTAGACCACCTGGGGTGGGTGGTGAAAGACAGATCTCCTACTCCATAACCTGTGCCCTAGCATGATTCTTCAGTTACAGGCTGATTCCAATGATTGAGATCCGTGGGTTACATTTTGCCATACAGTGACTAGGAGGTATCAGAGAGCCAGGTCTCAGAAAATACGGGCAATAAGAAAAGTGGCCGATGCTCTCACAAGGAAGTAGGGGTGGATCCAGGTTGTTTCAGAAATATTTTCCCTTTAGATGTTCCTGAGAAGGAAGACAGACACCCTGGGGTTCCAAAGGAATGAGACAACAGATTACAGACATTTTGAATCTCAGCAACAGCTTTCTTAATAATGGAATAAAAAAAAAATCTTAAAATAATAGACTGCATTAGCAGTAGAGCTTAGTAGTTAAGAATCAATCATACTCAAAGTTTGACTTCTTTACTTGTTAGCTGAATAACTGGCATTGAGTTACTTAACCTCCCTAAGCCTCTTTTTCCTCGTTCATGCATAGACTAGTAAGTAAATATAATGCTTCCTAGGATTGTTGGAGTTGCCATGAATCAATCAAGTTAACAGCAACTAATGACAACAACAACAGGACTGGTGTGACATATGGATGAGTTAGTTCATTGCAAGGACATGGCACTGCATCGGGCTCATGGGGAGGTCTCCGGAAATCCTCATTATGAACAGGGTCATGGAATCTTAGTGAGTCCTAGCAGGACAGGAATCATTATAGGGAGGTGACACAGGATGTATAATGACTCCCATTGTCCAGCTTCCCCTCCCTTCCCGAAGCCCAGCCCCTGGTTTCTCACCAACCAAGGGCATGGCACTTGACCCATGGAGGGAAGTTTGAAGTCCAGCTCTTGCACACTCGCCAAACATGGGCATGTCAACTTTCTGCTTTTCTAGACACGTATGTTGCAAGCTCCAAGTCCACCTGCCTGTGGACACTAGCAGGCTCAGCCAAAGAGAGCAGGGCTGCAACCTCCCTCCCTTGCTCTAGTTTTTAATCAAAACAGTATTCAAACTATGATTGTGTGAGATTATATGGGGAGATTTGCAGGAGGCACTCAGTGGGGGCAGAAATGGTGGGAACAGATTGCCTCTGGGGGCCTGGGGCTGGGATAATCACAGGCTCAGATGCATCGTTCTCAGGCCCTTCCCCTGCTCTCCTGGAGCTTCACACCATCAGCTGTAGAGGAGACACAGGGTACCAGGGATGGAGAACTCCATCATCCCTTGTTTTAGAACTGGGGGAATGAAAGCCCAGAAAGAAGTTTTGTTTTCTTTTTCCCCCCCTGTGGCCACATAACCAGGTAGTGATAGAATTGAGATGAGAAAGTAAGTCTCTGGGATTCCTGGCTACTCTTGTTAGTTCTTCTCACATTCCATTGTCTCCAGCCAACTAGATCCAGATCTGTAGGAACATATGGACTGCAGGCTCCACTCTGGGTTGGGAGAGGTGGGGAGAGGCTAGGCCTCTCAGTCTGGAGATGGTTCCTGGAGCTCAAGAGACGACCTCTTGAGGTTCTGGGTGGTAAGGTAGGCAGCCACTTTACTACAGTTCTCTGTTCCTACAGGAGGTTGAATGGCTAGATGCAGCAGGGACATGACATCGGTCTGCCTCCCTCCACTGTTTCTGCATCCTAGTCCCTCTCCAGCCACATGATCATGGGTTTAAGTGGGACCTTTTCCCTCTCTGGGCTTTGGCTTCCCATCTTTACCAATGGGACGCTTAGGGCTCCTTGCCTTCCTCAGGACTAGCCTCCCTTCAACAGCACGCCCACCTTGAGGCTCTGGGAATGCAGCCTAAGCAGCCTCCCTGGAGGGGGTCTACTTGTCCCCAGCAGGGGGTGGAGTTGAGGGCGCCTTGAAAGAAGCCTCCAGCTAATACTTTTTATTACAAGCGTTAATCCTGCAAAGCCGACTGGAAATAATGTTTATCTTTTTGCAGTTTAATTTCCCAGACCCTAAGCCTCGGATCAGTGAGGGCTACCTGAGGGTCTCCTGGGAGGGGAAGGATGGGAGCAGCTGTTGCCCAGAGGAAGGGAGGGAGAAGAGCATCAAATGAGGAGGGTGGATCCCAAGGAGAAACCTGGGGTCTATACAGATGTCGGATTCTGTGTGACCCTGAGCCAGTCCCCTGCCCTTCCATTTGGCCTACTCGCTCGTCTGAGGTAAACATTTGTGTTTTTATAATTTATAATCTCTAAAGCCCTTTGAAAAGAGCCCAGGTGGCACAGTGCTTAAGTGCTCGGCTGCTAAATGAAAGGTCAGTGTGGTTCAGAACCCACCAGCCTCTCTGTGGGACATGAGAATCGCAGCAGTCAGTTTCTGTAAAGATTACAGCCTTGGGAACCCTCTGTCCCATTGGTCATTGTGAGTTGTGAATCATAGTGGACTCCATGCAATGTTTTTTTTTTTTTTTTTTAAAGCCCCTTCGGACTTATACTTCTATGGAAAAGAAGATGGGGTGGGGCTGCGCTGTGTACATGGCCTACTACCTCTGTTCCCTTCAATTTTCCCACCCCCCACCATCCCCTCCTTCTGTCCTCCCCTCCTCTTTCCCCACCTAGGCCTCCAAGGGTCTTAAAATTTCCTTCTGCCTCACACTTCAGTGAGCAACCATAAGGTCTGGTGGGGCAGAAGCCCAGTAAAGGAAATATAGCGCCCCCCAAATTCAGCCCTTAGGCACACATGCCAGGTGTCCTCTGTCAGCTCCAGGAGCTCCCTTCTAGGGCACTTCTCTGTTCACCTCCCTCCTTCCCAAATGGCTGACAGCTAAAAGCCCAGCCACTAGGCCCAGGACACTAATTTAGGCAGCCCCAACCAGCCAGCACTGCTTGTTGTTGTTGTTATGTGCCCTAGAGTCGGACTCAACTCGTAGCTACCCCTCCTTGGGTTTCTGAGGCAGTATCACTACGGAAGTAGATTGCCCAACCTTCCTTCGGAGGAGTGGCCAGCGCTGCTTGGACATCTGTAACTCAGAGCCAGCAGGATCATCCCCCTTCCCTCCTGCTGTTGTTACAAAATCCCTTCCGGACCTTGGTTAGCCTGTACCGGAAGTTTTCGAAGACACTTGATTAAACACCAAGAATATCGAGTCCAGTCTGGCCTCATCCTGACTCAGAAAGCTCCTGGGCTGGCTTGGTAATTGCTCCTGATATGACGGGCACTGTGGCCCCAGTAGCCAGCCAAGAGTTGTTCAAAATGATCTTCTTTATCCTCCCTCCCCCAAGAAATTTACAACTCAAGTACAAACCCCCGAAACAATGCAGCTTCCAGGCAAATATCCTGCTATCTCTCCCAACCTCCATCCTCCCAGCTGTCATTCCCAACTCCTCCTCATGCACGAACCAGCGGACTATCAGCCTGACCAGACTTGTTGGTTGGACGATTTGGGGCAGCTAAACTGCAGCGCTATTTTGCAATTAAAAGTGACTGTGGTCTGCAGCCCTCCCAGTCTTTTCCCCAGAACCCACCTTGACCTTTTCCAAACACCCCTGGCACAGATAGGCCACACAGCGCGAGTTCTGTTCCATTAATTTTAAGGACACAAAGAAGTGGGGAAAAAAAATGCACCTGGTCCTGGGGCGGGGGGCCAGGTCAGTCACAAGCTGTGAAGTTAGGGGGTGTGGGGGTGTGAGGGCGCTGGGCTCAGTGAGCCAGAGAGGGAGCGGGGCTTCAGACCCGGATTCAAGAGGAGGGAGGGAGACTTGGAATGATCCGAGCTCGGGGCAGGCTCTCCCCACTTGGCCTTCCCCAAATTGCCCTGCCACCTCCATCCAAAAAGGTGCACACAAACTCCCTGTCCCCCGCGTGCAAGGACGGCTACTAGAAGAGTTTGGGAGTGTCTGTGTCTCTCTGAGGCGAAGTGAGAGTCCTGGTCCTTGGAGAGGTCTCGTAGTTTTTTAGCGTGGAGATGAGTTCAAGAAGCTGCGCTCATTTCCAAGAGTCCTCCGCAAGTCGCGGCCATTGCGCTAACCTGCTGAGAGAGGAAAGGTTGATTAAAATCCGAAGGCCACTTTGGGCAGATTCTTAAGAAATCAGTGACCAGTCGGGTCTCTTCCAAAGTGAAACGAAAGTTTAGAGGCAATTTCCTTACCAGAAGGAACATTTGGATGCCTTTATGTGTAAATTCAACAAAACAGTGTAAACCGATTTTCTCAATTGGCAGTTAATCCTGAGAGAAATTACTACAAAGAGCAGAATCTGACCTTAACTGCTCCAGCCGCCTGAAGTTTGGGGAGTGGGCTTCTGGGTGTGTGTGTGTGTGTGTGACATTCCTTTTCACCAGGATCTCAGCTGAATGAAAAAGCCTGCTAGGGGCTGGGGACACCGATTGACAGTCACCCCAGCTTGGAAGTGAGCCCTTGGGGGTAAGCGCTCTTGGTGACCACCTCTGAGCTTCCAAGTGTGTTGGATGCAGGGATGTGTCTCTACTCACTAGGGGTTTTAGTGGGCCACTGAGAGGGCTGGAAAGTAGACTTCAACCCCACATACGTGTCTGGCTCTCCTGCTCAGACCTCTCAGGAAGCCCTGGTGCCTGCCTCACCCTAACCAACTCTTGGGACAAGCCTGGCTCCTCAGCCCAGCTGGCCCGACCCGGGCATCAAGAGGGGGAGGGTGGTGCTTTCCTGGTGCATTTGCCAGAATACTGGACTGCTAGTCAGGAGACTGCTCACCAGAAGGCTGGCGATTCAAACCCACCAGCCACTCCTCGGAAGGAAGGTTGGGCAATCCAACTTCCGTAGTGATACTGTCTCAGAAACCCAAGGAGGGGTCGCTATGAGTTGGGGCCTACTCGACGGCAAACAACAACAACAACAACAAGTCCGGAGGCCTAGATGTCTATCTTTTCAATGATATTTATTCTAAGTGATCCTAGGTAAATTACTCTCTCCCTCCGAACTTATAATTTTTCAGCTTTTAAATGAGAGGGCACTGGAACTTGGATCTCTAAGACTGCTTTTCAAGGAGTGCTAAGGAACAATCTCCTGCCAGAAAAGGGGCCACAGCTCTGAACTTTCCTCCCAAAGAGGCAGACAGGCAGGGCAGGACAACTGGCAGGACAGGGAGGTGGGCTGTGCCTTTTGGACAGCAAGGTGCAGAGCCCACTACCTTCTGCTCCGGCCGGGTAATGGCACTGCATCGCAGGTTCCCTCTGCTGCGGGCAGGACGCACAGTTTAGCGCCAGCTCCTGCAGGGCCAACGTAGGGTTTCCAAATGCTTTGGCTATGCGGGAAGACTCGTTGCACGCAGAGTCTCTGGGGACCAGCGGTCGCCCTCCTGAGCCTGAAGGCTGTCCGGGAAGCAAGTGACACTCGGGACTTCGTGGCCTGGGCCGGGTTGGGAGTACACCTTCGACGGCGCTGGCCGCCGCAGTGTGCGCCAGAGACCAGATGCGCGGTTTTCCGCTGCAGGCGTAGTGCATGGTCAGCGTGGGGTCCTCAGGCTCTGCCCGGAGGAAGTCAGCCTCGCCCTGCCCGGGGGGCTCACTGAAGGAGAAGCAGGGAGCCGCCAGACCGCACTCCCTGCGCTCGAGCTGGCGCTCTCGAGCTGCAGCACAGGGCGCGGGCAGCGACTGCGCGCCCTTAGGGAACTCGGCCAGCCTGTTGGCAGCTGTGGTCACTGCCTCCTCTTCTTCAGCCTCTTCCTCTTCCTCCTCCAGGTCTTCCAGATCACTCAGCCGGAGTCCCCGGGCCTCTCTGTTAGCAGTAACATCTGCAGGAAACCAAGAAAAGAGTGAGAAAAGCCCCAGGCCCCAAGGGAAATCCTCCGGGAGTGCCCTCCCGGAGAAGCTTTTAGCAAGAGGCGCCCTGAGCTCAGGGCATTCTGGGGGTAATTCACCAGGCCTGCCAGACACCCCTTACATTTGCTCCAGGGGAAAGAATTCCTGCTCCTAGCCTTGTCCCCACCCTCGCAGACTCTTCTCAGGTGCAGCTCCAGACGCCAGCTCCAACTAGGAATCTCAGCTGTCAAAAAAGAGGGTGGGGTTGGGCGGGGGACTGGTTTTTACCTAGCTATAGCGCCTTCGGGTGCCTGGTGTTATATTATCTTTTGTTGTTGTTGTTATGTGCCCTCAAGTCGGACCTGACTCATAGTGACCCCTCCTTGGGTTTCCTAGGCGATATCACTACAGAAGTAGATTGCCCAACCTTCCTTCTGAGGACTGCCTGGTGGGTTTGAACCCCCAGCTTTCTGGTTAGCAGCCAAGTGCCTTAGGCAGAGCACTGACCATGTGCCTGATGTCATTTAGGCACTTAGGTATTAGATACTTAGAAAATGCAATATTTGGTGTAGCTGACATTCTAGAAGGGGTAGGAAGACTTTGCATCTGCTAACTTTCTCATAGTGATAGTATGACAAAAGAACAAAAGATGCTGCTGTGATGGAGAGTAACTGGGAAACCACCTTGGCTTGGGTGGCCAGGGAAGGCCTTTCACAAGTGACACACTGAAGTTGAGAGGAAGCCAGTTCTGTTGGGGATTCCAGGCAGAGGGTAACAAACAGGCAATTCATAGCGACCCCCTTTGGGTTTCTGAGGTGGTAAATCTTTCCAGAAGTAGATTACCCAGTCTGCCTGCTGCTGAGTGGCTGGTGGGTCTGAACCGTCAACCTTCTGGTTAGCAGTCAAATGCCTTAGGCACTGCACCACCAGAGCTCCCTGAGGCAGGTAGGGGATGCAAATACTAGGGTAAGCAAAAACAATGACAACAAACAAAATCAAAACCACTGCTACTGAGTCATTCCGACTCACAGCCTCATATTTACCCTGAAGGGCAAATTAGAATCGCCTTATAGAGTTTCCAAGGCTGTAAATCTTTTCAGAAGCTGACTGCCACATCGTTCTCCCCAGAGAAGCTGGTAGGTTCCAACCTCCAAACCTTTTGTTTCGCATTCCAATGCTTTACCCACTGTGCCACGGGGCTCCTCAAGGGGGCGCGCTCCAGAAAAGCTACCCCAGAGGGCAACTGGGCTGCAAAAGGCAAATCAAACCGCTTGCTGGCTCCTAGAACACATAGGGTGGAATAGGTGACACCTTCAGTACCTTTGGTGTCTCCGTTTAGGCTGCCCAGTGGTTCCTCCGCTCCGCCCTCCACCTTCCTCTCCTCTCCGCCTTTGTTCTTGGGAGCCCACGTCATCTTGTTCTCCTTCTTGAGGCGCCGGCGCGCGTTGGCGAACCAGGTGGACACCTGGGTGAGGGTCATCTTGGTGATGATGGCCAGCATGATCTTCTCGCCCTTGGTGGGGTAGGGGTTCTTGCGGTGCTCGTTCAGCCAGGCCTTGAGCGTGCTTGTGGTTTCCCGGGTGGCGTTCTTCCGGCGCCCGGCGCCGCTCAACTCCACGGAGCCATAACTGAGGGGAGAAGCCAGCTCACAGTTCTGGGGCTGGGAACCTGAGGCTGCAGGCAGGGGACAGTATATGGCCTGGAAGTGTGGTCCCTTTGCCTCCACCCCAGTGTTCCGCCAGGATCCGCCCCACCTTGGCAGGCGAGAAGGAGGTCCTTGTGGTGCCTGCCTCTAACGCACCCCACACCTTACCGGTCATATTGATACTGCCCCAGGGTGGACTCGTAAGGGTAGTAGGCTCCTGATTGTGCCAGACCGGATGTAAAGCTCCCCACCGCCTCTTTAAATTCATACTGTGGGTTCTGGTGGGGGAGAAAAAGAGAATTTAAGATTACCATGGGGGAGGAGGGGGGCAGGGCCGCTGTTAGGGTGTGGACCCAGGGTCAAGCGTGGTTTAAATCCCAGTACCACCATTCACATTTGGTTGTGTGACCTTAGGCACAGTAGTTTAACTACTCATTGCTTCAGTTTCCCCTTGGTAAAATGAGGATAACAACAATACCTATATGTTGTCGAAAAGGACCTCTGGTGGTGCAGCGGTTAAAGCACTCAGCTGCTAACCAAAAGGTAGGCCCGCTCTGCAGAGAAAGATGTAGCAGTCTGCTTCCAAAAAGATTTACAGTCTTGAAAACCCTATGGGCAGTTCCACTCTGTCCTATAGGGCAGTGGGTTTGTTTTTTTGTCTGATTTATATGTTGTTGAAGAACACCACTGGCACAGGCTTAGCAGATTCTCCGGTGAGGAATAAACAACAGTCAAATATTAGCTGCACCAGCAGGGCTCCTATTCCTTTTTCCACTTGTGTCCTCATTTTGCCCTCTCTCTCCCATTCTCCCCTTCCAGAGCTATTCCCTGACCCTTTGTGTCTCTGTAACATTGGGTAAAGAATTTGAACTCCTCTGTACGTACCTCAATTTCCTCATCTGTAAACTGGGAATAATGACACCTGCCTTGCCCTCCTCACAGAGTTAATAGAAATACGTTTTCTAAACAGCGTGATGTCTTGCATACTGTAAAGTGCTATAGAGTCCTCATCTCCCTTAGAAACAATCTCAACCATTTCCTTTTTTTCAGAGTTATGTGTCCCCTCTAGATTTCCCCTGACGTGTCACTGGATTTCACCTGCCGCTGCCGATCACGCCCCCAGGCTCCGCGGGCTCTGGCGCGCAGACCCAGGCCCCACTCTGCATACTCACCAGCGCCCCGTACAGCGCCGACGGCTCGGGGCCGTAGGGCAGATAGCCAGGGTAGCTCTGCGCGGCTGCAGCGGCTGCGTAGGGGGCTCCGTAGATGCTCAAGGCCGCGCCCAGCTCCTGCCTAGCGCTGCCCAGCAGTCTACTGTTGTAGGATGCGCAGCAGAGAGCAGCAGCCGGGGTGGAGCCTGAAGCCACATCCGGAACCGAGCGCGGGGCCGACTCGCAGCAAGTGGCGCTGGGACTGGCAGACACCAGAAACTAGGGAGCGAGAGAGGGGGTACCCGAGGTCAGAGGCCCGCGCCTCCGGCTGTCAAAAGTCAACAGAGAAGATGCAACTGCTGGATCGCTCCTTCCTTCAACATTAACTAAATGCCACCCTGTACGAGCATTCGGCTAGGTGCTGGGGAGGGAATTGTTCAGAGGCAGTTTATCCAAACTGCCCTTATAGGCGTGCCTAAGCGGTTACTAAGAGTCCAGAGTTCCAGGGCGGATGTTCGGAAACCCGGATTAATTATGCCAAACCCCATAATTTCTCCCACCCCAGGATTCTACAAGGGCAGCGCTAGAAGATGGCCCAAGAGATCATCATCACGCTCCCACTCCCGCTCCCGTTTTTCAGATCGCAGACCAGAGAGTGTACGACACTTGTCCAACATCTCGCAGCAGGTCAGAGGTCAAGTTGGGACTGGATCCCATGAAAATATACCCCCATTCTGGAGAGAGACTGGAGAACAGTGGCGGATGTTCCCGGAATTTTCCCAGGAAACCTGTGTCACTGCACAACACCCACCCTGCTTTGGAAAATCGAAGCAACCAAAGGCAGAGCCCTTGGACTGGGCGCGGTAGGGGGAGGAGCAGGGCAGAGGCCACCAAACGAATAAGGAAAAAAAAAAGAGGTGGCTGGCTCTCTGGAGGGAAGTTTTCTTTGGACTCTTCTGGACGAGGAAGGGGCCTGATGGGAGATCACTAAGATTCTACCCACCTCCCTAGCGCGGGGGCAATTGTGCCCACGTTTGGGTCACAGCACGGTTTTCCAGCAGGCACTCCGGGAGCAGAACGTTCTAAGCAAGGGCTTGGGGATGTCAGAAGGGGCAGTGGTCCCTGCTCTGTCTGGGTGCTCCGCAGACACGTGTGAGAGGAGGGCGCTTCGGGACTGGCGCGAGCACTAGGCAACCCTTCACCCAGTCTAACTCCATCCCCCATGGAGGCGCCTCTTACCTGGGAAGCGCCGCTGTATGGGTGTCCAAAATGTGGGAAGGACATTGTGGCGGTCCCTGGCCCGCCTCACTCTTCCCTTCGGAGTTCCCGCCTTACTCCCGCTGCTCGGCACTCCCAGCTGTGTACACCCCGGGTTCCTTACACTGCCGCCGGTGCCCAGCTCCAGATCTTCCGCCCACTAGGCGCGGCTGGAGGCAGAGCCGCGCGCAGCCAGGCTGCGGAGCCCTGCGCTCCGGAAGGCGCCCCTCCGGCCCGCGGGGTCCGGAAGACAGAGGGGCCCATGGATGGGCAGGGGAAGGAAGATGGTGAGGGTTCCCAAAGGCGCGCGGTGGCGAGGCGAGCAGTGGAGCGGCGCGGGGCTGTGAGCCTCCCGAGGTGTCCCAGTCCAAAGTGGCTTGAGGCTCAATGTGACGTCACGGTAATCCCAGGCAGCCAGGCGGGAGCCTGGGCCCCGAGGCCCCAGGGCCCCGGGCGACCAAGCGTGCCAAGCGCAGCCAGTCCTCGCGAGCGCGCACTCTCACCTATACTCACACTTGTTCTGGGAGGTTTGGAAGTTGTGCAGCTAGTGAGGTACGTCAAAAACCCTGACCCTCTGTGCTCGGCATGTATCCTACCTCGTTTCGCCTCAAGCACACGCGTGCGCGCACACACTTACAATCTCTCCAAATTACCCGGGAGAAGTAGGAGGAACGCCTCCCTCTGCGCGGCGCAGGCCTTGGGCGCAGTGCGCTCACCTCCTCCCCTGCGGCCCTGAGGAGGAGAGAGGCAACCAGGTCGGCAATGGAGGAGAGAAGAATACAAAAGAAGAGACAGGGAAAAAAAGAAGAGAAAAGTGGGGGAGAAAGGCAAGAGGGAGAAGGAGGAGGGGGGAAGAGAGAGATGTGGAGTCGAAGTATACAGAGGCGCGCGGGGGAGGGAGGGCTGAAGTGGGCGAAGGCTGGGCGGGGGCTGAACATTGGCGGGTGGAGGAGAGCCGAGGCTGGGGGAGAAGACTCCAGCCCAGGTCCCCCGCCCCTGCGCTGCAGAAAGTTTGTTGGAGCCACAAACCCGGCGCTCTTTGGGGCAGTGCTGGGCAGCGTCCGTGGCCTCCACTGGCACAGTCGTCTTTGTCCTCCGGGATTTGGCTCTTCTCTTCAGCCTCGCAGAACTCAGTCTAGATACGGTTCTCCAAGCCCCAGCCTTTGCCTGGCCTTGAGCCTGGGACTTCTCTGCAGTCGCTTGGCCCTCGAATGGGCCAAAAAGCGCTCCTCGAAGTTCAAGTCTCCTCTGACATGTCTTGGAAATGCGCCAAGTCTGACCCCTGGCATCTGCAGGCCGCGGACTGAGACCTCTGAGCATCTCCCCGAAAGCTAGGTTTCCTCCCTCACGCACGCAGCCCGCTATGTCTGCGAGGAGCTGGGAAGACGGAAGAAGGAGCCTGGGCGGGCTGCAGACGCTGCGGTCCGCTAGGGGTGGCGCTGGCGAGCCGCGATGGAGCGCGCCGAGAGGGCTGCTGTTCCCTGCGCTCGGGCCGGATGCGTGGCTGGGCCCAGCGCTCTGACACCAAACCTCCCTAACCAGATCCCAGGGATCCTCAAGGGGGCACTGATGGCGGGGGTGGGGGAGGACTTGTTGGTGCCGGGGAGGGAACTGTGCCCTCTAGGCCTGGACCCCGGGACAGGCGGACGCCCCCTTCGGAGCATTGCTGACTCTGCACGCCCTAAGGAGAAGCCTCCAGGCTTGGAGCAGTCCTTCTCAGGGCTTCCAACCTGGGACGTTTTAGGGACGCAAAAGGGCCGGCCAGTCTGGCAGAAGTGCTGCGGACATCCAAGTTGAACCCAGACTTTCTCAGAGATCACTCAGGCGGGTCACCGCGCTTTAGGGTTTACAAAACGGTACCCAGGCCCTCACTGCAGGGTCTCAGAGTCATGGGGGCTGGTTCAAGGGCCCAGTTATACTTTCTAGTTGAAACGCAAAACTTGTGGCCCAGATGGTAGGGAAAAAAAAAAAAAAAAACAACCCGGAGCCCTGTCCTGGTTCTCCCTAGACCA